CAATTCTGTACTTCAAAAGTTTTGTTCTGAAAAAGTGTTCCATTTGAGTTGCCCGATGACAACATTTATATGAATATCAAAAACATTAGCAAAAGAATTAAACGCTCTTTAATGCCATTTTCTGTTGATTTATTAGTTTTTCTCCTCTCAAGTAAGTGTGTTGGCGTGACTTCCAAACTACATTTTAATGTTATTTTATAATACATATATAAATAATAACCTTAAAAATACAATGCCCCTTAGGAATTTAAAATGCCTATGCCTTATTTACATGTAATTAATTTGTAGGGTTATCTCCATACATTAAATAGGGATTCTGAGTCTTTAAGGTCAATACAAATATTTTCCAATGTGGTCTTGAATATTTCCATTGTTTCCAGTGTTCTTAGGTTGTGTTGATCATACTCTTTTTATTAATCTTGCTTCACTTAGATTTGTGGACACCCTGGGTTCTGTTGCATATTGAGCTAAAACTGTTGTGGGTTTGTTATCTATGTCATATTTGTGTTCATTGGATACCATTGGATATGAATGTTTCTTTTCTATTTTTTGTGCCAGGTCCATAAAGCATCCATATCTGGTGGTATATATCCAGGCACATATATCAAAAACTAGATGCATAATTATAGATTTTGATAATTGACTCAAATCAGTTTACGAACAAAAATTGCTAAATATTTAAATGTCAGCTTGTGCTTCTGTAAAAATGCCACAATCTACAAATTGCTACATAACAGCAAAGATGAGATAGACAACAATAATGCACCATGTGTATATTCTATCTCACTAACAGATGCAAGATTCAATTGCCAACTTATGTACAGTACTGTACATTGGGTCAACAATTAATCTTAAAAATGCAGAATCAATGAACACAAATATGACACAGATAACAACACACCCATAATAGTTTTAGCTCAATATTCAACAGAGCCCAAGGGTGTCTGCAAATCTAATGAAGCAAGATTGATAAAACGAGTCTATCAAACACAACCTAAAAACACTGGAAACAGTGGAAATATTAAAGACCACATTGAACAATAGTTGTATTGACCATAAATACTCAGAATCCCTATTTAATGTATGGAGATCATTCTTCGATAACCCTACAAATTAATTATGTGTAAATAAGGCATGGCATTTCAAATTCCTAAGGTGCATTGTATTTGTATTTTTATTGTAAAGATTATTACTTACATACATGTTATTTTATTAATATATAATGATATGATATATTTATATATACACAATTACAATGTTTAGAAAGAATATTTAAGCTACATCATTGAAAATTTAAAATGTTCCCTGTTAAAATTTGAATTTGTAAAACTTCAAACTAAAATAAACTGAAAATGTTTGTTATACAAATTCTGTTTGCTAAATATTTATATAAGGTATGGATTTTATTACTAGATAGCATTTCCAGCTGTATTCTTGAAATAAAACTGACTATAATTTGTGTGTTAACAAATTTTTATTAACATTTCTAGTAGATAATTTAATTAGGTACACTAATAAATTAGTTATTACATGTGCTGCTAGAGATAGTAAACTACTTAAAAATTCATAATTTCTTAAATATCTTATTTATATAAAAATTAATAATTTATGAATCAGTACTGATAAATACAGGGTGGGGCAGAAAAGACAATTTTTTTTTTTTTTTTAAATCACATCATCTGTAAGTTACTGCAAAAGATATTTGTTTTCAAAATGTGAGTTACAGTATTAAAATACTGTATTTACTCACATATAAGACAAGGTTTTTATTAATTTTTCACTGCTTCAAAAACATAGGTCATCCTATACACACAAGCAAAGGATTCTTTGCATTTTTGCAATAATTTTTGTGAACCTTGTATTTGCATTTTTTACTGGATGTTCATTCTCTGGTGTTTAAAAACATGAGTATATAGTGCTTCGTGACTATTTTATTTTTTTTTGTTTCGGTTTTTCCCTTATCCCTTTCGTTTTGTTTCGTGGTGCAACCCTCCTCCAGTTAACCATGTACTGGCAGCCAGATTGGCCAGTTGGGGGGTTATGTGTGGTGTATATCCAGTTAGTGGGGTATATAAGGTCGTGACCCACGTGGAATAAGGACCTTTGGTTTTGATTTCTGGTTTGTTTCCGACTGCAGTGTTCCGGCCAGGTGTGTGTAATCAAGGCGCTGAACATGAGAGACCCGAAGACGAAGGAAGACAAGAGGGAAGAAATCCATTTGCATCTGAATAGGGACTGTGTGGTGGTGAACTCCAACTCGTTCAATTGAGAGAAGATCGGCCGAAGATTCGTAGGCACTGATTAGTTCTTCAAATGTTTGTATGCGGCCAAGATTTTTGTCATGAGTAACGTTTGTTATGTTTTCTTTGTTACGTGCTGTTTCGTCGTCCTGCTCTTCCATGTGTCGTGAGCCCCCATAGTCAAGGAAGGAGAGGTACGAGGTGATCGTATGTAGCGTTGACTCAGATATAACATCATTTTGTTATTAATTCATGCCTTGTGTAAATATCCCATTGCACTTAACAAACTTTGATTAAAACCCCAGTAATTGTTGAGCCGACTTATCTGTGTGTTTTGTGTTCAGCCCTGCAGACCTTGCTCTACAGGGAAACTCTACAAGTATTTTATCTTGGTCATTTAAATCATTCTTGTGTATTACCAAATTAAAAATGAATAGCAAATTGAAATTCCAATTATAAAGATAAATTTCAAAATCACACAGGAGCCCGATATAAGTTTTAATGCATCCACATGTGAAAACAGATGATTATTCGGAGAAACTCATAAGTGTCATTGATGGAGAGTGGATTTGACTGTTAAGAATTGGTAAAAACGGTTCTCGATTATCCAGCTTTACATGAACAAATTATGTTGTCAATTTTAGGAGATTTTTCCTTAAATTTTAAAATGCCAGTCATTTTTGCGGGAAAACGCATGCATTTAAGTGCATTTTATATTTTATTTGTGATTAAACAAAATAAAATTAAAATTGTATTAATAAATCTAATTTTCTTTATTCTGATCTTTAAAGTCACACCTCATCCTATATGCGAGATTGTCTTATACGCGAGTAAATATGGTAGTATTTTACAGAATCAAGTGTGGAAAATAACATCTCCCATGTAGTGTCTGTTATCAGTGATGCATTTCTGGAAGCGTTTTTGGAAGTCGGCATCCACTTTTTTCCAACATCACTCTGTCGATTTTGGCAACTTCCATGCAAATAACTTCCTTCAGTTCTTGTAAAAAATGGGGCTTATGCTCGTATATATGTGCCTCGAGGTGTCCCCACAATAAATAATTGCACATGGATAGGTCAGATAAACGAGGAGGCCAATGAATGTCACCAAACCTGGAAATGAGAAGACCGGGGAAGAGATGACGAATAACATCCATTGATGCTGTAGCTGTGTGGGCCACTGCCCCATCATGTTGAAACCCCACACGTCTGATGGAAATACTTTCAGTCATAATTCAGGTAAAAGAAAATTGTTTATCATCTCAATATAGTGCTCTGAATTCATGGTAATTGCACTCCCATTATCGTTTTCAAAAAAGTAAGGACAATGATGACAGTTTTGCCCATGGCACACCAAATTGTCACTTTCAGGCTGTGCAGTGCTCTTTCATGTAATTCTTTTGGACTTTCAGAAGCTCAATAATGGCAGTTTTGTTGATTCACCATGCCACTGAGATGAAAATGAGCATCACTTATGAAGGTTTTCATTTTGCTCAAAAATTTCTTCCATCTCATGTGTAAAGTTCACCTGCTGTGTGTAATCCCCCAGCTCAACTGTTGCACAACAGCCAATTTGTAGGGATGGAAATGCAGGTCTAAATCCAGAATATGCCATACCAAACTATTACTGATGCCAAGTTCTGAAGAATGTTTCTGAGCAGATCAACGAAAACTACATTTTCAGGGGTACATGCTGTTTGTATTGCTCCTGGCAATCTTTTGTTCATTAGTGTAACTCGTTTATGAAATGCTTTAACCCAATGTACGATAGTGTTATGAATGGAAACAGCTTTGTTTCTGTGGTTATTGAAATGACAACAAAACTCACCTTGAACTGCTGTAATAGACTCATAATTCTTGACGAAACAGTCATATGCAAACATTCAGTGTTCTATCATCCACGGCTCCATGCCTTCAATTGAAAAGACAATGCTAAGACCTCACTACCTTCACGCCACCTGCCACACATTTGTCACTCTACCTGATGGTGAGTTCTAGCCATTTCAAAAATGTCCATCCTTTCTGCCCCACCCTATATATCTTCTATATTCAAACAAAATAGCTCAGTTAGAATGAATGACTTTTGAACACAAAGAGATAAATGAAAGTATCAATAATTTTAAAAAATCAAGTATAAAATAAATTGATTTTATAGTAGATAATAAATTCCAGTGAAACTACCAAGCAAATGTATTCACTTCTTCATTGACTAAATTCATAGATAATAAACTATTTCTAAACAATCTATATCTTTCTATATTCATTTTACTTATTTATGTTTCATAATATACTTTATTTCAAATCCAAATAAGCCTGTAAATCATGAAAATGTACAAAGCCTGATACCATACTAACAACCAAACTTGAACAGACTGTTTAGTTACCTCGTAATAAAACTAAAAGACACACTGTTAATTAAAAACATTTTTGGCTACTATTCTCATTGTCTTCAATTTATAACAATGGTGGAAATCTTTTGTCATGTACAGTACATGACACTTCCATTTGTAAAGAAGATAAATAAATAAATAAATAAAAATCAATTGAAAAATGTATCACAAAAAACAATCCTAAACTAAGAAATCTGTTCAGTTTTGATTACCTTAATATCAATAAAGCAAAGTTTACAAATCAAACTTCTTTAGTTTTAATAATTTTGTAGAAATGAGCTAGCAACTTTCATTCCATAAAAGAAAATTAAATATACAATGATCATAAAAAAAGAAGTAAAATGATAATGATAACAAAGTTAAACACTTACTAATTTCATCTGGTTCTTTAATAACTTCTATATAGGATAGAGGAAAAATACCCTTTTTATTTCCAATTCTACCTTCATACCAATTGCTGTCGACACGTCTGGTCAAAATAACCTTTTCTCCCTATAAAAATTTTATTTAAGATTATATGTCACATATATATTAATATATATATAAAACAATGAAAGCGTAACAATTATACAGGTGTATAGCAAAACAAACACATACTCAGCCAATATCTAAATGCAGCCAAAGGTATGTTTAAAAATTTATCAACAATATATTTATAAAAAAATAATTACTGCTTTCATGTATTTTATATTATAATATAAGCCTTAAAAAATTGTATTTAAACATCAAAATAAAGATAAAACAATTATGTGCTTGAAGTTTCTTGTCTTGTCAATCATTGTACTTCTTAAATCACACAATATGATAAAATTAGGACTTATCACACATCAGAGTATCAGTGTGATAGTTGCCAGCCACGTACTATATGTAAATATATTTTAGTTATACAAGTAGAAATTATTTGTAGACATTTCTGGAATGTTCTCTTTTGTATTTTCATTCTCTGTGTTTTTCTTTTATCTTGTTAGTTTATTGGCCCAGACAATAAACTAAGCAAGAGTCAAGGGGGAGTGTATATAAAAGGTGGAAAGAAAAATTCAGACATTTCAAGAAGAAGCTCACCAGGTCATGATAACTATGAAGTTTGTGTGAGATTTGGACTACGAAATCAGTAACAGAAAAAAAATTCAGTGATGGAAATGATTGCCCAACACCAAATTGTCCCCAGTTTATGTTTAATGAGAGAACATTAGCTTCTTGATAAAAAGCACTGAGTTCAGCGTTAATACGATTGGGCAAGCAATTTTTGCCACAGTTTTTGTACCTTCAGTAACATGAAAAAAGAGTTTTTCATGTTACTGAAGCTACAAAAACTGTGGCAAAAATTGCTTGCCCAATCGTATTAACGCTGAACTCAGTGCTTTTTATCAAGAAGCTATACAATTTTGGCATGAGTTTTATTTATTTATCTATTTCTAGAGAGAACATTATTGCCTTCATCTACAATTTTGGGCTTAGAGGTATCTCTCTCACTCTGACCCTTCTAATTTTTCCTCCCTCTTGCATATTTCCATCTTTTTACCTTTAGGCTAGTTTAATATAGATTTTTTTGATTGTGAATTGATTCATAAAATGATTGTTGCAACTATTAAAATTTTGTAAAGAAAATCACTAAATAAACATGTTTTTCTTTTCATGACATGTTGATAGCATTAAATTATAAATCTGCATAAAAGAGTAAATTCTCACATCTGAAAGAGATTGGCAAAATCATGCACATGGAATTGTCAGTTTGCAGAATGTGTTTCAGGTTTAGATCATCTTCAGCTGCAGACAACTCTTTTAAAGGACTTGCCCTGAGTAAAGTCAAAATAAATGTAAAAAATTTGTTTATTATTAATTATTGAAAGAGTAATATGGAGTTATCATATGCTGAGTATTAAAAGTAGGCTTAAAGCTAAAAAAATTTTACCCAGACAGATGCCAAAGGATGTTTATAAAAGATGATAATTAAAAATTTTTAAATGAAATTACAAATAAAATTAAAACATAAAATATATAAAATAATTTATTACCTATGTTTTAATCAAGAAACAGTGGCAGAAACTACATGCCCAACTACAGTTTCTTTTGAAGTGCAGAACACATAACATTGTTTGTAAGTGCATCTTGCTCAAGCACAAAGCTTTTCCATGTCTACAACAGATGCTTCCAAATTTGGAAAGGTCTCTCCTTGCAAAGCTGATTAGGAAAAAGCAGAAATGCCTTGAGGAAGTCAAGCTCAAGCTCTATGTGGTGCATCTTCAATTTAGTAAAGTCTAACCCGTCTATACTTTAATTGGTTGGGTAAAATATATAGTATATCATCCAGTTCTACTCAAGTACTACAAAAGAAATTGGAGAGCAACAGGGAGAAGCATAACCCTACCAGGTGTAACATCAACCCTAACTGGGTGTCTTGATTCTCCCTACAATGTTGCATGTCACAGGTTGTTCTTTGAAACAAAAACACACAAGGTGGATTGACTGTTGTGACCACTTGTTAACAAGTGGCTGCAACAGCCAATCCCGTGTTACTCCCTCGTCCTTGGTTGCTAAATCCATCATCACTTAAGGCATTGGTAAGATACAAGCAAGCGCATACAGCTTCTACAAACTGGATATAGTATTCAATTATACAAGCACTAAGGTGGCTTTTCTTTTTTGCTGGACTTATTATAACATCAGTAACAGGAGGACAAACTTTAGAAAAACTTTTTATTCCTTTGAGAATGCATTTTGGACAATTATGTATGTCCCTTTTCAACTCTGTGTTACAACTATATAGGGAAAAAATTACATACAAGTTAGCATAATGTATACAAGTTTGCACAAAAAACATCGTGATGTTACAAATTTGTAGAACAAGAACAGGAAACTAGATATAGTATCCTTGAACCCTTCAGTGCCCACTTTTAAAGCTATAATGCTTGTCAACTCTCTACTCCTCAAGAAGGGCTTTAATGCTCAGCAGATACTTGATATATGTGATACACTGATCTTCATCACAGAACATTATTATCATTTTAATCAGAAAATATATTTACAGAAACAAGGCGTCCCCATGAGTTGCCCTTTATCTGCTATTCTAGCAGAGCTGATTATGAAAGAAATTGAGCATAAAACATTTAATTTCCTGCTTGCCATCCACTACCCGCTGTTATAATTGTGTTACATTGATAATATCCTCATAGTGTGGGAGGACACAGATGAAATGTTTCTTATCTTCAAACAACAAATGTCTAGTGAATATTCCTCAATTAATTTAACTTAAGAGGAGATTGGTGCAACTATAACATTCTTGGATTTACGCATACATAGATCACCTGAAGGGCTACTATTTTCTGTTTACCATAAATTTAATAAGGTGCCTCATATCAGCTTGACAAAGGCTTTCCAACTTTCGCAATATGTTGATGCAGCTATTGCTGCCCTTATTAAAAAAGCCTTCTTGTTACCATCAACACAGGCACTTGTAAACATTGAGTTAAACACCATTAGTTTGGCAGTATGCACAGCTGGTTTTTCACATGCTAAGTTCACACATATGCTTAACATGGTCAAGGAAATCTCTATGTAACTACACTATGTAACACAACACTATGTAAGAAGAGGGATATATCAGTAGTTCAAGTGGCATTACTGTACCTCTAACCCCTTTCCATATCCATTTGCTGCATATTCAGGCAACATAACTTTCTCCTGCCCCTATCTCTGCTACCAAATCTGCACAGACTCATCTGCAATAACAGGGACAAATTCTCCACCTTTGAAAAATCAGGGGTCTATGCTATACTGGTGGAGAATCCTATAACTGGGATGAATACAAGGTACATTCGGCACCAGGATGATGTGGTGAAAGTAGCTTGCAACAAAGTGCTTGAACAGAGTTACAACCTGTTACGGCCCTAAACAACACTACTCAGAGGCTGTAGTGACCGAAAACGCATCTTTATATGGGCATCTCTCCTCACAACAACCTCGGATCATGCGACACTCCCTCTCTTGACCTGCCCAACATATGGGTCACCCTATATAAACAGTTAAACAGCAATTTACTGTCACACCGTTAACATAGATCTGCATCCATGCATGCCCCATATCACATCATAACATCAAACGTAATCAAACTTTTAGCTTGTTTACAAATACACACACCAACTGAAACTCAATATTAAGCAAATATACACCCACAACTGCCGTAAATGATCAGGCTAAATTTGAATATAATGATTATAAATTAGAAATGAATTTGGCACTCGAGTGAGGGGTTAGGCACCATCTTGTATTAAAATTAATAACTATAATATTTAATTAATTAATTTAGATTAAACTGGAAGAAAAGCATCAACCTGAAGTGAGACTCAAACCTTCATCTTCTGCTTACCATGCATATGCGTTGCCAGTTATGCTACATGGACCTTTGGTTTGATCTCCTCTTCCAGTATATATAAGTTTAAGATATAACCACCAATGGTTATTATGGTGCCAACTGGGGACACAATTGTGCCCTTAGCCAGAAACATCCACTCAAGGCACTCAGTCAGCCATCACAATCCTGGCAAGGTGTAGATATACAAATGTACACACCAATCGAAACCCAATATTAAGCAAATATACACCCACAACTGCTGTAAATGATCAGGCTAAATTTGGATATAACGATTATAAATTGGAAATGAATTTGGCACTAGAGTGAGGTGTTAGGAGTCCATCTCATATATCTTTTGAAATGGATACTCTGCAACCTCTATCTCCTGGAATAGAGCTCTACCCTGGTGAAGGTTAGACATCTGGCAATCTGTACAATGCTCTATATAATGTTTGATGCTTTTCTACATTCCTCAGAAATAACAGTACTGGCTATTAAGTTTCATGGTCTTCTCCAACGTCCTACCAGATGATTACTATGAAAGTTTTTTTATAACTTCATGTATAGCATTCTTCCCAACAAAAATGCTTATTATTTCTCCCATTCCTCATTTTTGGCCTCACACAGAAAAGATTAAGCCCATCTGATTGGAATTCGGGCAGTATCACCCCCTTTATACTCACTTTAAGATGTTGATGATTGTCTTTTAAAAGAGTCATTTTTATTGGACAAATGAATTTGTCATTATCTTGGGATCTTATAATCTTCTGTAACAAGTTAATCTTCTCACCATTAGCATTTATAACAACTGGTTTTTAAGATCAAGGGTCACTATACATCCTTGATAAACAATCCACTGTGGGGTCATCGCGACCTTTCATGTGGTTAATTTCAATATCATTTTCATTGGTATTTATCTTAGTACAGTTTATGTAACAACCATAGTCTCTAGGGATTCAAAACGACTTCCAACAACTTAACACTTCGTTGAGTAATAATAATCCACGAAAACCTTTCTGTACAAGTGTTATGTTCTTAACTACTCCACAAACGCTTTCGACCTCCACCGAGTCACCACCTGAAGCAGACCTCGGTGGAGGTCAAAATCGTTTTTGGAGTAGTTAAGAACATAACACTTGTA